AATTTTTTAAATATATACCTATTTTACCCAAAAATTCTGTCAGCATTTACTAACCATCATGCTGTTCCATTTACTTTCTTCTTTTGAACATAAAAGGAGAAATTCTGACTGTACTAATAACTTTTTTTTTTGGGGATGAAATTACAATGAATGAGGACTGAAGCTTTCAAAAGCACTATAAAATTCATTCAACAGCTTTTTGTGAGAATCAATTCAAAATTTAAGCCATTATTCACTGGTAATCCTTCCTGTAGTGAGCTGTTAACCAGATCATTAAGTCATTTTTGTAAACTGAATCAACTGGGGAAGTCGTGGCCTAATGGTTAGAGCGTCGGACTCATAACCCAAAGGCTGTGGGTTCGAGTCTTGTACCGGCAGGGATTGTAGGTGGGGGGAATGAATGTACAGCACTCTCTCCCACCTTCAATACCATGACTGAGGTGCCCTTGAGCAAGGCACTGAACCCCCAACTGCTCCCCGGGTGCCCACTGCTCTGGGTGTGTGTTCACGGTTTGTGTGTGTTCACTTCACTGATTCATTGAAAAGATCTGATGATTCTTTCATGAATCGGACATTGCTGCATCAACACACCAAGGTCTGCTTCTCACACAAAGAAGGATATGATAGTCAGAAAATTAACACTTCATTTTTTATAGTACACCGTAGGGATTGTAGGTGGGGGGAATGAATGTACAGCACTCTCTCCCACCTTCAATACCATGACTGAGGTGCCCTTGAGCAAGGCACTGAACCCCCAACTGCTCCCCGGGTGCCCACTGCTCTGGGTGTGTGTTCACGGTTTGTGTGTGTTCACTTCACTGATTCATTGAAAAGATCTGATGATTCTTTCATGAATCGGACATTGCTGCATCAACCAAGGTCTGCTTCTCACACAAAGAAGGATATGATAGTCAGAAAATTAACACTTCATTTTTTATAGTACGTCCATTAATCGAAATAACTTCCTAGCTGCATTTTAGACTTGGGATGCAACGATCTACAAATTGCAATGCGGTAGTGGTCATGGCCTCTTTTTCCTGACATAAATGTAAATACAGAACAGGTTAATTCCCTACGAGCTCTGTGTGTTTGTGTGTGTTTGTTTTTTTGAGCAAAGAGACTTTGACATGTTTCCTTGCTCAAGGTCAGAACAGCAGCATTCTCCAGCCACTGATGGACACACGTGTTCCCTCCAGAGTGCGTTTGCTAGTGTGCGCGTTCACCCCAGAACATCTGTTCACCACCAGCCCTGACCGCTCTGATCTGACACCACCCTCGGCTTGATCGTACCACCCAATTCCCTCTCCGGGGCCAGATGGCAGCCTGCTCCCTCCTTCATACCCCTTCTCTCTCTCTCTTTCCCTTTCTCTCTCTTACCGGAGCTGCTTCTGCAATACCCATTCAGCCACCCGCCCCACAGGTATCGCCCCAGGCTCGGGCCCTGCCACTCACTGTTGACCAGCCTCTGGTGGCTTCACTGGTCCCTCCTGTCAAAAGACAAATTGTTCGACAGCCTGAGCTTTTATGAATTCAGCCCTGAGGTCTAGGGCTCAGGAAAATAGGTTAAGGAAAATCCTTGGCCCGAGATATCCAACTTTGAGTTGGAAGTCGAGGTTTTCAGAAAAGTTGAGTTTGAGCTGGTAGAAGTCAACAACAAATTTAATCACTTCAATTTGACTACTAAATGTGCTTTGTATCAGGCTGACCACAAGAACAGTAAGTCATCATGAAGTCAAATCAAATCAGTGTTTTAGGTGCTTTCAGCAACAAGGGGAATTCAATAATGATAAATTGAATTGGTTATTTGAATGTTTAAAATCCATCTAAAATAATAATAAGGTAACAGCTCAAACATGGCCTTTTTTTTTTTTTTTGCTGTGTGCAAATTTTACTTCACAGGGACAGCAATGTAGGTACCTTTTTTCTGAAAATGAACTTGATTGGATATATAAAACTTAGAATGCTCTTCTCCATCACTGAGTGAATTACTACTACATGATCAACAGAAAAAGGCACAACAATCACTTTTTAATACATTTATGTTTACCATCAGCTTCCCACAGACAGTAACAGCATCAACTAATGTCTACATTAACACACATTTACATTCATTTACAAAGAACAACAATTAAAATTTATAAGAATTTAAATATGGCGCAGTGCTATTGCTAGGCATATTAAACTGGACTGCAGCTATTTATTGAAAGCACACACTATTTTGAACTCAACAAAAGTGAACCAACCTTTTAGTGAATTTGTCCCATTACTGGATAAGAACGAGCCTAAAAATGAAAAGATGCACCTGACCTTTGCCTGTCCAAGAACAGGCAAAATCAACCATGTAACACTTAATAAATAGACAGCATTTTGAAGTTAACTCAGTTTTTTTTAAAGTAGGTCCAATGATAAGAGTTCACTATTTTTTTATTTTTTATTGCCATCTACATTAGGAAACAACTCTTGAATCACCTATTGTTAGTGAACATTTCGACGCACCCGCAATCGGTTTAAATTCCAGATTGCACTAATCAAAACCTTTCTTCACTGCAAAGAGCAGTTACATACTCGATAGCTCAAAGAATTTCTTCCTGACCTGAGCTTTCAGGTATGCGGACAGACCGCCAAATCCATGCAAAAAGACTTTAATTCTGTAGTTTCAACAGCTGAGTAACCCAAACACGCCCAGTTCCTATGCAAACAGCCTGTATGCTGGGCACTTTCCGACAGTACACATGTAGCCAAAGGCATTTGAAAAGCTAAGGGAGTTTTGGTACGATGCCCTCCTTTAAATGCTCTGGTAACCACAGATGAGGCACAAAAAAGAGAGAGGATCATTAAGTGGCCACAACATGAATCTTTTTAATTACTCATCCTTGTCTTTAGTCGTTAACGAGAGGGGGAGCCTCCACTGATAATCTGTGTAATTGGACAATGGGCCTCTCTCATTCAATTATTGACCACTGGCTCTGCTAGTGCACTGATATCTTGCTTTGCTTGCTAAGATCATGGGACTGTTTAATCTACTGTAAGGACATCACAGCATTGCTTTCGCACTGCGAGATTGAGTAATTGTAAATCTATATTTCTTTCCATCTTTCTCCTTTCATTTCCTAAACGATGGACAATGGGGTCCTGTAGCACAGTGGTAAAATGAACCACAAAATTATATACATACATCTAAAACTAGTAGACACCAAATGCCTATTTTGCATAAGACGTGAATTTTAATTTATTAATGAAGATTTGTTCTGCTTATTACAAATACCACAACAATTTCAACCAGTTACTGAAAATGGAGCATGATTTAAAGGAACAGTGCACCCAAAAAAAATTCAGCCCCGAAGCAGGGGTTTGAAGTTAAAAATGTCTTGATGGATTAGTTTATTGCAACCATGCAGCTTTTCACTTCTCAAAACATTAATTGATGGATTGGGGTCGTGTGGATTACTTGTGGATTATTGTGATGTTTTTTATCAGATGTTATTATGACGGCACCCATTCACGGCAGAGATGTGATGCTAAATTTCTCGTCAACTCATCAACATCTTGGATGACCTGAAGGTGAGTAAATCATCAGCAAATTTTCATTTTGGGTGAACTACTCCTTAACTGTAAGGACTATATATATATATATATATATATATATATATATATCTTTATTTCACCTATATAGACACAGCATACTGGTTCACTGAGGACATATGCAGTAAATAAAGTATGCATATAAGGCCATAAATTCCTTGTGGTGAAATAACCAATAATATTCACAAATAGCATGCATGATAAAACTCATTCACAAAGAGTCGCTCTGAATTAAGTCTAAGCTCTATTGCAACTCAAATGCATTGATGGTTTCATTGGCAATGCAGGGCCAGTGTTAATTAACCCTACTTACAAAATTCACACCTCCAGCTACAGCCATTTCCAAAATATGCCACTTTTAATTGCTACACAATTAATTCACTCAAATGAATATTTCCCTGGCAAAAAAAAAATATTTTTTTTTTTTCAAATTAACAGCTTTTTCAAATCATTCCACATAAATAGATAAATACACTAATGTTCCTTTGGAAGTCAATGTGGCATGAACATTATTTCAGTGTGCTTGAGCAGAGAAAGAGGAATGCGCTTTCAATTTTTTTAATGAAAGCCTTCCCTTAAAACACTTTTTCATAAAGAAGCACATTTAGGTCGATGATACATTTGAATGCTATGCACAAATATCTTTTCAGCTGGAAAAGAATCATTATGAGACCCAAACTTATACCATTTCCTTTTAGCGTATAGTGAATTTTTAGCACTAAGACGATGTATCTGGAACAATAGGTGATCATTTATGCCGTATGCTCTCAATGCGCTGCTTTAGGGCCAAGGTACAGCATGTCATTCACTACAAAATCAATGAGCTCTGTTCTTTGCAAAGACAAAAGTGTCGTTTTTCAGAAAGACGCAGAATGTAAGAATACTAAACCTGCCGTTAAGACTAAAATAGATATAGATAACTGAAGATGTAAAAAGACTCATTAATTGTGGTCATTACTGCTTGAAACTTATTGATTTTAACAATGCAAGAGGTTCAAATAACGTATCTACTAAAAGCTATTCTCTCTGCGTCTTCAGAGCACAGCGTAATCAACAGATTGTTAGACATGAATTTTCTGTGCCTATGACAATGCCTGATATATGGGGTCGATGAGAGTATTCCTAATCCATCCATTGCTACAATTTATTAACTTATTATAATTGTATACACAAACATTGTGGTGATTTAGGTGACACAGTGGAAAGATGAAATCCGTTTATATTAAAAGGGGTGCTCACCCCTGAAACACAGAGCTGGCAACACCTTTCAATGGCTGCTTTTAACAACATGGTTATTGTTTTATTGATCAGGATTTTATTACATATTTGACATCCGTGTTATGTGTTAATCGAACAGCGTATCATTTTCTGACACATATTTTACGAGATTACGACCGCAATTAATTTAATAACTATTATTTTTTTTTGCACATTTTTGTCTGAGCGTGGTTTGTGCTTGAGTGGACCGTTTGTCTTGCGGGTATTGTCAGTCATGTACGCGCTCTCTCGATGGGCTAGTGCATGACCCAAACGGAGGGGACGGAAATGGCCGACGGTACACACTCCATGGACTCACCTCCACTCCTCTATTCTCGTTCAGCCTTCCATCCTTTTGTTCCAGGGAGTGATATCACTATTAACGGGACCATTCATTGACACACAATTCCACCGCTCTACACTTAAATGTTCCCATTTTATGGGAAAATTATACGACGGCAAAAGCTTCACTCCTGTATACTTGGGTAATGTGACATTTTTCAGCAAAGGACGAGTTAACCTATAGGATAAAAGAAGAAAAAATGTGTCACAAGAGCAAAAAGTGGCATCAATAATATTAATTACAGTGCTTTTATCGCACCTGTGCTACATTTATTGAAAACTAACACAATATCAGTTCTGAAAAGCACAGCACAGGCAATCACTGTGTACTAAAGTGAGAAATAAGGCAAAAAAAAAAATGTATTCACACAAAAGGAAAAGACAAAATCAGCATGTGCTCTCATATATTTCTCAAGAGAACATTTGCTGAAGGTTGCAAAAAACTGTATCAGAACCATTAATTAATTTGTTCATCTCATTCTTCATAATTGAAAGATCTTATTAGCCCAGATAATAAAGGCTCTCAAACTTTCCCACCTGAACATACAGTCGGCACTGTGCGGACCTCAGACTCTTTAGAGGCCTTGTCAGCAAATTTATTATTTGAAACCGAGCAATAGGTAAGAACTTGCAGGTCTGTCAAACTCATTTTCTGTCTTATTGAAATCTTCACAGCAATGTTCTGCAATAATCAGCTTTAAGACCTAATTGCCCAAAGGTCCTTCGAACAATTGTAGAATAATTGTTCGTCACAGGTATTTGAAGTCCAAATTGCTTAATAATCATAAATTTTAAGTCAAAATATGGTAGCAAAGACTGAGTCCTGGTACTTAAAATGTACCATTAGCAATATTAATCACTGAACAAAGGCAGTTGTAGTCATAATTCTGTCTAACTTCTGTCAAAATCTGCCACATCTCCAAAAAAAAAAAAAAAAAAACTGCAAATCTAAGATGAAAATGATTTTCTCTGTCTTGCCATATTGCTAAATGTGATTAGTAATTTTCAAAAACAACAACTTAAGGCACATTTTCAGGCCCACACTGAATGTAATTTTGAAAGTATAAGAAGTTTCTTGTATTCTTGTACTTGTTGCTTTATGACAAATTTGGTACATTTCATACACTTTCAACTACCTCTAGCATTGTACAATTCTAAGCTCCATTTAACACAATTTGTTTAAATCTATTCTGCTGCTATTCTGATCATTTTCCCCCCAAATCCCCAGAAAATGAGTAAAAAGTCTGCAGATTCTGCCTGGTCCTGAACATTTGTACAAAATAGGCTGAATGGCATCCTTATCTTCCAAGAGACACCTCCTCTTATTCTCAAATCAGTTTGAACATTTGACAACAGGCGAGCAGTTGGTCACACTGCACTGTTAAAATCATTTAATGAACAATTTGGCGCATACACACCACCATTAAAAGCACATTCGAGCACAACAGTCCAAGGTAAGACATCAAACAGACCCAGGAACACAATAAACCGCTCACTGTTGGAACACACCAATCAATGAATACCAGCTGTTGTGAACATTTACATTGCACTAGAGGGTCTTTTACTCTGTTTTGTAGTTGTGGTATGCGGCCTACCTTGAGCAACGAGTATTTGAGACATATCACATTAAAAGATACAAGGGGATATGCTTCAGATTTGTCCCAATTAACCTTGTAATAAGATGTATCAAAGGCCTTATCAATGATGGTAATGAGAGAGATGAATTGACAGTGTATAAAAACAGTGCTGTATGAAGATATGCCTGCAGCACTAGTAGACGGAGGGAGACCACACTCATGAAAATGTAGGACAAAAGAGATCCTCACCAGCAAGGACACACACACATAGAGGGAGAGAGAGAGAAATACAAGGCTAGCATTGTGTTACCCTTGACTCTTAAAGTATATATGAATCAAGGAGCTTATTATCTGGTTGACACCATAAGAGAGTTGTTCCCTCCTCAGCACTACTTAGGGCTCACCTCATAATGTGCCTGCGCTTAAACCCAATCATAATCCGTCTTACGCAATAACAACAAGACAATACTTTACTGAGAATGTCTGATGTCATATCATAATTACACTAATGGTAAAAGCTCTCTTTGCAAAAAAAAGTGAATTTTTACTTGTATGGTTAATTGTTTTCTGCTAAATGACTGGCCTTGGTTTTCTTTCATCAAAAATAAAAAATGCCATAATGAAGTCAAAGAAATATAATTATATTATACATTTATATTATATATCTATACATATGGAATATATGGAATTTGGTTAATGGAAGTCCAACAATATAAAAATAAGTTCAAAAAGACAAATGTGACTACAAAATATCTAAGCAGGTTAATATAATCTGCTCCTCAGACTGGAATATCTATATTCTACTAGAATATCCATTTAGTGCCAAGACAATATTGCCAGGAATATCAATAATTCAAAAATATTCATCAAAGATGATCATTTTGACTTTGACATCTAATTAAATAAAAAAACAGAGAGTCAAATAGTCTGCCTTCAACCAATGTGGGACTATCAGCTAATAGAAAAAAAAATCTATTTAGTCATTTACCGGGTTGAATAACTTCAAGGGTTTTCTGAGCCCCCCTTGGATCACCCTGGGAATTCCCAAGTGAAGCCATCGCCTTAGGAAACCTTCACTTTCTTTGTTTGAGAGAGAATCCCCAACAGATTTAAGTCATATACTGTTTAACTTCACCAAATCCAATTTCCTCCTTTTCTCATATTCCTGTGATATTTTGCAGTATTGTGAGGCCATTTATCTGTAGTCTTAATTGGAAATTCTGATATCTATTTTGACTGTCCTTGGGAGGGATATTTCTTTGTCATTTTCACTGGAATAACCTGGTATGATGGCCTGGTCACATAGCTGTCCTCAAACATTTGATAAAAGCTGACAAATCCGGGAGATTTATTGACATTATTAGGAGCCAGATGACATCATAACCTTGTTTGGAAATTGAGGAATTATCTGCGTTAGTTCCAATGTCGGGAACAATTGGAAACTTAAAGCTGAAGTGTGTTAATTTGAACCTTTTTTATATATTTTTTTCAAATATTTATCTTAACAAGCTTAATATGCAGAGACAACTGCTTGCTGAAAACTTTTCAAAATTAATATTTTTGCAATTTCTTGATGCAAATGGTGCAGAAATTACATATTTCCTTCAAGTAGCTTCATTTTGACTCCAATCAATCCATTAGAATCATAACTATGAGTCTATCAAAGTCATTCTGTTTCAACTCATCCATCATCATGTAAATCTAGGAACTGAGTGTCTTTGTATGGGGGATGGGAAGCTATATTTATCATTCAATTTAAAGCAGCAAGGTTTTTCTCCTTTTATACAAATGAATTAATCTATTTTTGTCATTACGCATAATGTATTTCATTACTGGAGGATGAAAGAGGGGTTAACTCATAAATAATTTAGAGGAAGGGAATCTGGTTGCAGTATAATTAATTAACAACTGGATTTAGAATATGACTCCATGGATGATCATTTTATCTGTCTTTGTCTCAAGGTAAGAAGGAAATGTTAGCGTATTATGAGACAGCATATTCAAAGATGTCTGACATTTTACAAAAGTCTGTATGCAAAAAAGCAAACATATGTATATGCGTTGTATGTTGTCTTTATGATATATAGCTTAAAAACACAGCACTTACTCAACACTTGCTTTTGAAAAGGCATCTGATCCAGTCTATCACACATTCATATTTTTCCATTAACAGGCCCTCTGTTCTGTAAACATATGCAAACAAAACTGATTAAAACTGCTTATCATTGCATGTTGGTCTTAGATGATATATAGCCTAAAAACCTTGCAAAGTTTGATATATTTATCAAATCTGAACTTATTAAGATTGCAATCCTTTAAAGTGTTTTTTTTTTTTTGGAGATGAAACATGAACTGCACTGAACCTGCAACATTTGATTGATTGATTGATTTAAAGATGAAGATCGTAGCTGTGTTTGTAACCAAAAGTAACCGTGTATTATGCCTATTTTTCCTTAAGCAAATTTAATGTATTATAGTTGTTGTTTTTCTCTATCTACTGCTTTAGATGAGGGATTTGCTACATGACAAACTGCCATTTTATGATAATCATTATGGAACAAAGGAACATATTGCAATGAATGGAATCCTTGTGATCTGAGCATAATCTATATCCTGCCTGTTGTCTCCAGCATGCAATATTCTTTCACAGGGTGCTCTTCACACTTAACCAGCACTCACCGTTGAAGAAGGCATCTGGCACGGTCCACTCCCACACACATTCCCACATCTTAATTTTTCAATTAGCAGGCCCCTTGTTCTCTAAACATATGCAAACACAGCAGGGCATCCTTTAAAATGCAACTCTAATCTGCAGGCTAGTTAGAGTAAATTGGCAGGCTTGTAAACCTTGAGAAATCTGAATAGAGCTCATTATCAGTTCATCTCTGCTGACTGGCTTTTATATGAGAAGCATGTGTTGTAGAAGCTGAACTATGATTGTTTTGTGTGAATAGGTATGTGTAGACATGTTTGTGCACAATGAAAAAACTACTGAACTTCACTGCAGTAGTGCTACAGGCTAAAGCATAAGGCTCTGAATAAAAAAGTATTTTTTCCCCTTGTGAAACTCTGTGAATAATATTGGAAGAAAGTAGATGCATAATTGGGCGTTTCTTCAACTTATGGCACTTTTATGTCCCAAGGGTTGATTTTTATTAACACTTACAACTTTTTTTCTTTTCTTTTTGTTATATCCAGTTCACATTCACACTGTCTTGCAAAGTTTTTACCATGCTTTGATTATTTCTTTTTCGAATACCTTCTACGTATAGATTTTATATCGTCACAGACTAAGACTTTCAATCTTACAATATGAAAACCCATCATGAATGAATTATTCAACTTTAAAAAAAACAGTAAAAGACCAAAACTGTGTTATACTAATATATTTCAATATTTATAGTATGAATATTATTTATATAAGTTGTTTTTACTTTTTTAGGGTTGTTATCTCCACCACAAACAATTATGAAAGCGTTTTTCCCCCCCAAAATTACTGTACTTGTTTACCAAGTACAGAAAACAGAAGTCAGAAAAAAAGGTAAAAAAATGTTTAGACAGTTATTAGACAAATTTAGTAAATAGTGCGAGTGTTGTAATTAGACAAATTAAGTAAATAGTGGGAGTGTTAAAACAGTGTTTTAAGAGAATTCTACAGAGCCAAATTGCCTATCCCTTACGAAAAAGAAGTTTATTCAAGTGTGCTATTAGTATACTTCTTTTAAACTAAAAATAGGAAAGTATACTTCTAGTCTACTTTTTATGTACTTCTCAGAAATGGGCTTTATGTACTTCTCAGAAATATACATAAAATGACATTTAAGTATACTTGACTTATACTTAGAAAAAGTCTAAATATATTTGAGCTATACTTGTGTTCCTAGAATCCGTGTTTTCATTGTTATACTGTAGGGGGCGCTAGTACACATCTTCGGTACAGAATTTCCAAAAAACACAAGTGAAGAAGAAACCGAAACAACAGATGCTTCCACTTGTATTCTAACACGATCATCAGACATAAAACAGTATCAAAACTATGTAACATTATGTAATAAAATGTCGACCAATGAAGAGGTAATAATGACTGTCAAGCTTTGGGGTGTTGATCGAATTCATAGTCTTTTTTCAGCTTTTTTGTTCAAAATGTTGTTTATTTCTTTATTTATGAAACTTATCCACATTCAAGTGTTTAAAAAAAGAATGCATGAAGCTAGAATAAAATGTTTTTGTTTACAAGCAGATACCCTGTTCTTTTGATGTTTTGTATGTTCAGATATTCATCTAACAAAATATATACAAATTAATACCTAAATATGGACATAGTAGTATACTTCAAGTATGATGTAAAGTTCACTTAAAGAAAACTTACGAGTATACTTGCAGTATAAAACTACTAAACTAGTACTTTACTGAGACTATACTTTAAAGTGTACTAAAAATGCTACTACAAGTATTTAATTAGTAAACTATCAGTATACCTAGTATAGTTGCAGTACAAACTAAACATTTTGATGTAAACTAGTTGTGTACTCAAAGTTAATGGCTGTTATACTTAAAGTATACTTAAAAGTATACTTTTATATACTAGAAAGTGGGCCAATTTAGTCCCAAGGAGTATTGAAATAGTACACTTACAAGTATACTACTAGTACACTGATATTTGTATACTTACTACATAAAGTTTACTTAAAAATATACTTGCACTTTACTTAAGTATACTTACTAAAATAAACTTGAAGTATACTACTTTTTGGTAAGGGATAACTTAGTTTTAGAAACAACTAGGCTAATTGTGAAAAAAGTGCGGCATCTTCTAGAAACATCAGCATCAAATATGCATATGAAGCCGTGTTTGAACATGAATAATGAGATCTCCCACTAAATTAATCATCTCTGAATGACAAAAATTATAAAACGCGACGTTACCTTGAGTTTTTGTCGTCAAACATAATACACGTCACGACGTCGTCGCTAGACTTGGGTGCGTCTCGCGTGTCGATCAAAGTTGCTTCTCTCTTTAAACCAGCAGTGACGACTAGCGGGGGTGTGAGAGAAACGAAATCCTCCCATTTGCTTTGATGACAGTAGCCAACTTCTGTCATTTTCAGTCTCACTAACTGTCTTTATGACTAAGCATTAGTAAAATAGCGACGTACAGCTTAAGTGAGATAGGAATCATCATTTTTGTGTTGCTGAAGGCGTGTCGCGCATCTTTAAATCTCTCACGTGATGTCTTTACATTCCCGTCACTAAGATAACTGTATATCAATGGTAAGTTTTCATACACAGCTTTAGCAGTGTCTTTGTACTTGTTTCATGATTCGGACCATAAATGACAACTGTTTTGATATCACACTGTTAAGACAGATGGCTGGACAAAACGCGGAAATCGAGCTTGATTTGATCAAAACTGGAGAGAGAAGCTCTTTGGTAAAAGCTGGTAAGTTAAATAATAGCCAGCATGCTCGCATATTAGTCTAACACACTGAAACGATTTTGGTTTGGTGCATGACATATTGAGAACAATGTTTTCTCACTCATTTTGAGATGGTTATTGATTGAAGGGTGCAACAGTGCATTAGCTTTCAGAGCAGTTAGAAATAGGTGAATCCTGTCCCCAGTCTTAATGGATCTGTTTTGATCTATTTTTTCACTATGACTATTCCTTTCCCCATCCAGTAAATCCTCCCCCAAATTTAGTTTTTATGATGGAGTAGTATGCTCAGAGAAGGGGAGACTGGGGCTAGTTGTCACACTGTCTATTATGCCATAGATCCCCACATTTATTTATCAGAAAGACTTGTATTAGAGATTATATCATGCATAAAATGGTTATGCATGACAGCTGTGCTGTGATTGTGAACAGCTGATAATGGCACACCTGAGAATCTGCTCATTTCAAAGCTGCTGTTTAAATCCTGTGACTGTGTTGTCAAAGAGCATGGGCTCCCCTGTAATAAAACACGAAAGATTAATCTTCCACGTCTGTCATATCATAACACGTTCACTTCACAAAGCGAGAACACAGCGAAGACAAACCACAGAACTTTCTGGAGAAACCGTTCTTTATCCTCTTTTCTAAATTATTCAATCTGAAGGAGAGAGAGAGAAGAAGAAAAAAGGCCAATACAGCCCAAAGCCATTTTCATTTGTCTTTCCCCTTCTCTTTTTTTTTTATTTTGGACTAACAATGCAGATTCCTCTACGGAAAATATGTCCTGTGTGTTAATTAATCATAAGACATTAAATGTTAAATAAAAGAGAGAAAAGCACATTGAATAATTCATTTAGGATAGGTGGAAGAAAAAATAAACAAGGTAGTGCAGCCAAAGCAATGATTCATTAATAGTTTGCATTCAGATCTGGCAGATTCATTATTGAATGATTTCTGGGCTCACTTTGAGACCAGTGAGAGCACAGGAAAACATCTCAGCATGTTTTCTAGACAGGCCTTGATAAACATTGCTTCAGGATGAAAGAACTTTTGAAATGAGAACTGACACGGTGGATTAGAGAACATTTATTCTTCTGCATATATAGTGGTAGATTTGTTACTGACAGGGATGTTTAGAGTATTTAAAAGTGATGTATTTGAGCACCGCAAAAATGACACTTTCTCCTTTGACCAGTTAAATGTGCAGAGACAAATATATAAGTAAGCTTTGCAAAACAATGTAAAAAAAAATATGGCTCTGTGGCACTTTCAAAACATTGCAGAGTCGATTCATGAAATGTTGGATTCTGGCTCAGACAATGGCATGAGTTTGAGGCTTGAATATAGAGTGCAATAGTGCCCACCCACTTTTTCAGCAGACTTGGTTCCAGAAGTAATTTTCCATTTAATTTTTCTCTTAGGGATTTTTCAAAAGTCCTTGTTAAAGAGTAATAAGCCATGAACCAAACCAACCAGCTATGCAGTGAATCACAACATTACAAGCTTTGTTTTGAAGCTCAAAAACTGTGTACTTAATGGTTTTAATAAGCATTGCGAATGTATAACCTGTGTAGAACCAATTTCTTTTGTTGTTGCACTCTTACAGTGAAAGTGAATAGGGACCAGGGCAATGAAGATCCAAAAAGGACAAAAAAACATTATAAAATTTCCCCATACAACTCTGACACTACTTTTCTGAAGTCACCTCATAGCGTTGTGTGAGGAAAAGACTGAATTTATGTCATTATTTACTTAAAAATCCTGCTTTGAAAACCTGGTCCCTGTTCACTTTCATTATATGGATATTCTTCTATAAAAATTTCATTTTCTGTTTTTCTGAAGAAAGAAAGCCATACAAGTTTTAAAATTGACAAAATTTTGCTTTTTGGATTAACTTTTCCTTTAATACTTTAGAGGATTTTATGAAAACCTTTTGTATAATCTCACTTACTAGGTGAGCGTAAATCAATATCTTGCTCAATAAGTGTAAACATGCAGATTATCCAAAAACTCTTTCTCTTTTGCAATAACAGAGGTATCCAGCACAGCACCTGGAAGGCTCTCACCCATTCCTGAGCTGGATCCCTGGGAGAGAGAAGCAGAAACAGGCTCTACAGAATTCACGTACTCCTTATGCTCAGTGGACAGGTACAGCACTGCCTCCTCCTCCAGCAGCTCCCTATCTGACTCCCAGGAGAGAGGAGGTGAGTCACACAACATCACACCTGGGTTTGCAGATTGGCCACCTTCTTCTTTCCCAGACCACTATACTGCCCTAAAATGCTCTAATGAATAATAATTACAACATCAACTGCCACCACGAATTGTCTTGTATTAAAATTCCAACTCCTAATTTTCTCTCAAATGAGCGCTAGTTTTATACACTATCTTGCTTTTAAAAAATCCTTTGATTTTTTTTAATGAATTTATGTGTTGCCACAAGCATATAATTATGCATTTTTAAATTGTACATTTTTAAAATCGATCTATAATTTAAAATGAAAACTAAGGAAACGCATGTGATTTTAAAGCTGTCTACATCAGTTGAATAACTGAATTAAGCAGCACATTCGATTAAACTTACATATAGAGATGAATTATTAAAGCCATGCGCAGCGAACTCTTGTGCATGACTATTATGATTCAACAGCTTTTTCAATATGAAATTAATTAGAACAATATATTTCCCCTCATTCAGCCGGTAGGTTCAGATGACTTAAGGTGCAGTCATTATGTCATAGTGTCGAGGTTTAGACATGCGTTACAATGCCTTTCCTGGTACAATATTCAGAGGTTAATCTAATTCCTACTCTTATGCTCAGAGGCAAAGGTGTTTTGTCCCGCATTAGGCTCAAATCTACTTAAAGTCTTGAAAGCCCCATTTGAAGCTTGGTTTATTTTATTTTTTTTACACAAAACCCTGGGCTGTGTGGAAACATTTTTTAAAAACAGACCATCACATTAAGTCGACTACACTAAAATCCCCCTAATTTTTTAATTCTACACTAAAATCCCCCTGTTTATGTAATCACCTGGAAGCGCCTGGAAAGGAAAAACACCTATACAGATGGATGATAATTGATTACATCTCCACACAGCTCTATTCCTTCTCTCTTTTGAAGGAAAAGGTGATTCAGTAAATTATGCATGTGTACAGAAGTGCCCAGCGAGAGCTGGGAGGCTTTTAAACTGTTGTATACAAGAGGTGCGGACAGACTCCTGGTCATTAAGGGCCCTTGAGTGTCTATCCCTATCAGCCGAGATCCCAAGGTAAAGAGTTTTCAAAGAGGCATTTAGGTTCTATAACATATGTAACACTCCATGGGCTTTTTAAGTTCTTGGCATGATCGTGACATGTCATTTTGAGCATTTCTGGCATCGTTCATTTTTATGCTTTAAGAAGACAGTAGCAGCATGTGTGTTAGACATATATGATCATTTCATTTCTAAATGGATGCATATTGTGATGTACTGTAGTAGTGATAAAAGCCTATCTGTTAATGTTTAACATTTTTCAGCAATATTTTTTCCAGTGCTGTTTCTTTGAAAATTACAGATGTTTAAGGGTGTTTCTTTAACTATGGATACTTTGGCCTTGTAGAAACTCTTACAAAACACATTTTCTCTTGCTAGTTTATTTAATTTTCCCACTAACAATGTCCAATGGTTTATATACAAGCATCACAGGAGAATTCTGTCATTTCTGTCATATTTCAGACATTTTCATCACATTATGGATTTTGTTTGATAACATGTGGTGATGGAAATAATAAACAGCGGTGGAAATTACATTTGAAACATTTTAAGCCATCTGTTTATAATTTTATAGTTAACATTTTGTAAATAAGCACCCAAAATGATATAATATTTAAATTTTTTGCATAATTGCATTTCTGCCCGAAACACTCGGAACATAAAAGTACTAGTATTTTACCCTATAGGGATTTTTCAAAAGTCTTTGTTAAAGAGGCAAAGCCATGAACCAGACCAACCATCTATGATGTGAACAACGATACAAACTTTGATTTGACACAAAAAAGTATTTGAAAGTCAGACAAAAGGACAAATGTACAAGAAGGAAAGAACTACAATACTATGAAGCATTATGAATGACATAATAGAAATGACAGATCAATATACTAAACTATTGATTTAAAGATGGTGATTGTGCATGTAGAAACAACATATTTTAAATTTATTGCAGAAATATGATTATATATACAAATATTTTAAAAACCTGAAACCCTTGGAACATAATCCCCCCCCAAATTATGTCGTAAAGCTTGAAACTTATCACACTTTTATTTTACTAGATTGGTTTGGCAAGAAGCACCACACATGGCCATTTTTGAACTGCATCAGTACTTGAATTCATTCTTTTATTTGTTCAGGCCTTTTATTTTCATGACGTATTGCCAGCATCTATAGCATCATGTTTCTGCTAACTAAACAGATACAAACTACAAGTGTACTCTTCATTAGGAAGGTTTTACATGCTTCTTTTAAATACACTTCCTGCAGCTGTGAATAAAGTGTAGATGCTTTAGCATTCCCTGTTGACTGC